GGGAAAAATGAAAAATGAGGAGCTGATTCCAAGAGCCCAAGTGGAAAGCAAATGTTTGGAGAATGATGAGGGCAACGAATGCACAAGTGTGCTTTACACAATTGACGTATGTATGGATTGTGATAAGAGTTGTATGAGTCCCCAATAAAAAAATTCAAAAAAAAAAAAAGAAGAAGCAGCAGCAAATCTGTCTGGGAGAAGTATGGCCAGAGTGCTCCTGAGGGCAAGATGGTGAGACTTCGTCTCCCGTTGTCGGGAGAGACCGGCCCCTAGAGAAGGGCGGCATTCTTGGCAAAGGAGAAGGGCAGAGCAAAGAGCTTACCCAATGGGCCCTGCCTACTCCAGGAGCTGGTTGGTTGGTAAGAGAGCAGTCGTTAATTGCAGCCACGCAGCTGGGCACCATGACTTTGCTCAGCAGCCGGTGTTGCAGAGAGCGGGGTGTGTGGGTGGGGTTGGAGGATGGAGGAGCAGTGAGTCAGACTTGGAATCCTGGTCTGTCCACTCCCTGATGCCTGGCTCGAGGGAGGGCGGCTCCTCATTAGCTCTGGTCCACTTCGCCTCTCTTTGCGTGGACATACATGCAGCCCTGGAGGAGAGTTTTGTGAGAGCTCAGTGGGTTGGCGGAGTGGGCTAGGAGGTGGGATGCTCATCACAAGGCAGTGGCTTGACTGCACACCAACACTGGGCAGCTTTCCTCTGTCCTCTGGGTTACTGTGAGTCACAGAGGACACGATGGCAGTGAGTGTGGACTTTGGAAGGGTGTCTGCACTGGAGAAGGGCTGGGGTGCATTTGAGGGGACCCACGAGACTGGAGTGACCCTGTGCTCATTCATTAGGCTCTCAGTATCGAACAATGTTTCCATGTTACACAGAAGGCTTTCCATAGCTAATTCCTCCAAAGGGCTTCCTTCGCAGCCAGGAGGTTACTTTGAGGATAAAGGCATGCTTGACCCAAGCCATGGTATTTTCAGCCACCGCAGATGCATGTGAAAGTTGGACATCGAATAAGGAAAGCTGAAGAAAAATCGATGCCCTTGAATGATGGTGCTGGAGAAGAATGTTGAAAGTACCACAGCCAGACAAAAGGACAAACAGATCTGTCTTGGAAGAAGTACAGCCAGAATACTCCTTCAAGGCTAGGAAGGTGAGCCAGGTCAGGAGAGCCCAATCCCTGGAGAAGGACGTCAGGCTAGGATCAGGAGTCCTCAAACTACAAGGACATTTATCCGGCCCACCGGGTTGTTTTTGCCACAGTTGGTTTTTTACTTCAAAATAAGATATGTGCAGTGTGCATAAGAATTTGTTCATAGTTTTTTTTAAACTATAGTCTGGCTGTCCAACGGGTCTGAGGGACAGTGAACTGGCCCCTGTTTAAAAAGTTTGAGGACCCCTGGGCTAGGTAAAGGAGTGGGGCAGTGGAAAGGAGGAAGACCCATGGCAAGGATTGACAGCCACATACCCAGAGGGAAGAACGATTGTGAGCTTGGTGCTTTGCTCTGTTGTACCTTGGGTTGCTGTGCGTCAGAACCGACCCAATGGCACTGAACAACTCTGCACCTTGGAGCTGCCTTTGTGCCGTCTCTGGGTCACCGCAACCTTATGGATGATGGAAGGAAACACTGCTCAGTCCTGCACCCTCCATGCCACCAGCAGGCGACTCCCATCCATTGCCACAGCCCATCTCACTCAGGTCCTCCTCACCCTCACGGGTGCTCCACACCACCAAGCACCCAATCCTCTTCCAGCGATGGGACCCTCCTGAAGATGATGTGTCAGAAGCAAGCGAGTGGGACCAGTGGTTTTCACGGGCTGATTTTCAGAAGTAGCTCGCCAGACCTTTCTTCCTCGTCTCTCTTAGTTTGGAGCCTGCACTGACACTTGGCCAGCATGGGTGATGCTGTTGGTATGTGATGCCGATTCCAGCAGCATGGCCCCAGGTAAGGCACAGCAGTGGAGCAGCCTGGCCTGTAGTGGTGGCTTTGCTTAGGTGTGTCATGCCCAGGGGCTCCGTCTCATCAGTGAAGGGCTCTGGGATCTTCCAGTATCCTTAAGCACGGCTTTATTTCTCACACTCTCTCTCTGGGCTGCTCTCTGCAGGCAGCATGATGTCACACGCATCACAGGAGGGATGGGTACCACCCGGGGGAAGTAGGCTCAAAGGTCTGGAGAGCTACAAACACCAGGGTGCGAGGGCAGGGGGTGACACTGTCCCAGGGGGTGACACCCAAGTGACAGTCTGTGTTTAGACTGTGTTTCAATAGAAAGATGAGGCGGCCTGCTCTCAGAAACACGGTTCCAGGCTATGTCAAATCGACCCAAAGGCAGTAATTTCTTTTTCAAAATTAGTTAGAACAACAAACCATCAGTAACTCCATGAGAGAAAAACAGGGCCTCCTCCTCCTGTGATGCCTTAGTCTTGGAAATGTCCTCCAGGGGGTCATGAGCAGCATCAATGGCATGGCAGTGAGTTTGTTTTTTGTAACAACAAAAGCATTTTCTTGTACGCCCGTCTTATGGGTATCAATATGCCGACAGGACTAAAATGCTATGCCAATTTAATCTCTGAGTCATCTCTTCCACCCTGAGGACACCTGGTGGCACAGTGGGTTATGTGTTGCGTTGCTAACAGCAAGGTCAACCATTCACATCCACCAGTTACTCCACGGGAGACTGATGAGGCTTTCTGCTCCTGTAAAGATTGCCAGGCTCGGAAGCCATAGGAGTAGTGTCTACCATGTCCTATAGGGTCTTCAGGAGTTGGAGTCAACTCACTGATGGCGAGTTTGGTGTAGAACGCACTCTGAGGGCACCTTGCGCTGCTCACCAAAAGATTGGTGGTTCAAACCAACCAGCTGCTCTGAGGGAGGAAGATGAGGCTGTCTGCTTCCATAAAGATTGACAGCCTTGAAACCCCTATGGAGCATTCTACACAGTCCTATGGGGCTTCACATTGACATGCAGTAGTGGGTAGTGGGTAACCTGCTCAGGTCAGCGTGGTCGTTCTTACCCAGTTACTACCAGGCTCTAAGTCACGTGTTTCATCTGTATACAGAACAAGCATGTGATGTTTCTTCACTGTTTATGGGCATTTTTACTGTCGCTGATTGTGTCAAATTTCCTGGCCATTTAGCCACAATGTTACAGTAATTAGTATATTTGGACCTATATCATGAACTCTTCTCGAGAATGAAAACCAACCCTCTCCCCAGCCACAAAAAAATGAAACCACCACACTAGCTGCCGTGGAGTGGATTCCAGCTCCGTGCGACCCTGTGGCCGCCCCCCCTCCCTGGGGC